GTGCAGGGCCTGACACATACTAATAGCTAATACTTACTGAACACTTACTGAATGCCAGGCCCTGTGTGAGCACTTTATACTTGTATTATTCACTCTTTATCACAACTATGTAGGTAAGTACTATTGTTAACTCTGTTGTATTGTTGAGAACACTGAAGTTCTGAAAGGTTAAGTTATTTGCCCAGAGTCATATAGCTCATAGCAGAGCCAGGATACAAACCCAAGTGGTCTGACTGCAGAGTCGGTGCGATCACCACTGCCCGGCAGCCACGATAAGTGCTGGGTCAGTGTCTGAGTGTCCATAGTGCTGGGTTGTTCCATGCACACCTCCATAATCCAGCGGGGGTTTTGGTTCCAATACTTTTTGGATTTTAGAAAGATAATTTAGTTCATATGCTCTGTGGTGTTTTGTTGTTGTTGTTTTAATATATTTCTTTATTGTTTTCAGAGAGGAAGGGAGAAGGAGAGAGAGAAACATCAATGATGAGAATCATTGATCGGCTGCCTCCTGCACGCCCCCTACTGGGGATCAAGCCTGAAACCAGGCATGTGCCCCTGGCCGGAATCAAACCCAGGACCCTTCAATCTGCAGGCTGTCACTCTATACACTGAGCCAAGCCGGCCAGGGCAATATATGCTCTGTTTTATATAATACTCCTAATGAGGCTTGGGCAGCACCTCGTAAGGACATGCATCAGTGTTTCTGAAGCATGTTTATTCAGTAAGTGAGATAAAAGTCAGAAAACAAGTACTATAGTAGCCCAGTGGCAGTGCATGCTGCCAAATGGATTGTGGAAACCTTTTGACTTTTAGTATAGCAGGTGAGGGATGGCGGATTTACGTAAAACTCTTAGAAGATACCTGTCACTTAAAACACATTCGTGTGTTGGTGAAGACGACTCCTCCTAGCAGTAGTTATCAGCTGATAGGTACATACTCATAGGCATCGGGAGTTGGTGAGTCATGTAGTGCTGGGCGTACTTTCCTCACAACCTGATGTCAGGATTCCCTAAGTCACAGTAAGTGATAGGCACCTGGGTCTCTTCCCTGTCGAAGCATAGGCTGGTCTAGCCCAGGGCTCCGTCCTTCTGACCATTTGCGCTCCCCGCTGAGCCACATTGCCTCTCCAGAATAGCCAAACTTGTGTTTCAGCCTCTCAGAGACCTTGGCGAACCCGTGTTTCTCAAGTTTTCCTTGCTCTTTTTTCCAACCCCCTTTCTTTATTTTTTTCCATTTTTATTGAGAAATAATTGACATGTAACATTGTGCAATATTAAGGTTTACAAAATGATGATTTGATACTCGTATATACTGTGAAATGGTAACTGTAACAAAGTTAACACTTCCATCCCCTACATAATTACCTTTTGTGTGTGTGTGTGGTGAGAGCATTTAAGATTTTCTCCCTTAGCAACTTTTAGGTATATAATAACAACTAGAGGCCCGGTGCGAGGATTTGTGCACCGGTAGGGTCTCTCGGCCTGGCCTGCGCCCTCTCGCAATCCGGGACCCCTCGGGGGATGTTGGAGGCCCGGTGCATGGATTCGGCCCGATTCCCGCAAGCCAGGCCAAGGGACCCCACCAGTGCACAAGTCTGTGCCCTGGGCCTGTTTCAGCCCGATCCCCGCAGGACAACATTCATTTCCTCATTGCCCCAGCACCCAGTCTCTGGGAGCCACTATTCTGTCTCTTTCTAGGAGTTCAACTTTTTTAGATTCCACATGTAAGTGAGATCTTATAGTATTTGTATTTATTGTAGGTAAGTACTATTGTTAACTCTGTTGTATTGTTGAGAACACTGAAGTTCTGAAATGTTAAGTTATTTGCCCAGAGTTATATAGCTCATAGCAGAGCCAGGATACAAACCCAAGTGGTCTGACTGCAGAGTCGGTGTGATCACCACTGCCCGGCAGCCACGGGCTTATTTCAGTTAGCATAGTATTTTTAGGTTCATCCACGTTGTCACAAAAGCATGATTTCCTGCCCTTTTTATGGCTGAATAATCTTTCATTGTATATATGTATGCTACATTTTCTTTACCCATTCATCCATTGATGGACCTTTTAGGTTGCTTTCTATTTCTTGTACAGCCCCATTTAAAAAAGCATGGAACCCCCTAGGGCCGGGGTCGACAAATTGCGGCTCGTAGCCTCATTCGGCTCTTTGGCCCCTTGAGTGTGGCTCTTCCACAAAATACCACGTGCGGGCACGCACGTACAGTGCGATTGAAACTTCGTGGCCCACGCGCAGAAGTCGGTATTTTGTGGAAGAGCCACACTCAAGGGGCCAAGAGCCGCATGTGGCTCACGAGCTGCAATTTGCCGACCACTGCACTAGGAGACTAATTTAACTAAAACCCTTATTTCTGTAGCTATGGCCAGATGTGACTAAATACTGAAGTTATTTTATTTGAAATTGCGATATTTCCTCTTTCTTCCCATCATTTTAATTGATGAAAAGCTATAATCACAGTATTATAACCATTTATGACAATTACCAGGAAATGTTCTAGTATATATCATATATTATACACTGATTTTATTATATGGTCATATTACTTTTATTGCCATCTGATACAGGTATAAATGTATTAAATGCCCCTGATGTGTACATTTGCTATTAAGATTTTTACAAGTTTGGCATCTGAGTTTAAACCTACTCTCTATCCTTGGAAATATTCCTTTGAAGATACGCGGTGTAACATTTGTTCTCTCCTCCTGCATGTTAGGTCCCATGTGTCTTCCCTCAGCCCCCAGTCTCTGGAAACAGCCTTTGCCTCTTCTGTGGTCATTCTCAGCCCTTTACCTCCCCTGGCAGGGCCCTGGAATCTAGTCAGATGAAGCAGAGGAGTAGCAACAGAAACGTAACCAGTTTGTTGAGGGTGAAAATGTGGGCTTATTTGTATTTGACAGTTTTTGTCGTGTTTTTTGTAAGAGAACATTTATTGGGTAGATTACAGAGGTAGAAAAAGTAATTCCTTGAAGAAACGGGCTTAGAAAACAAGGTACAGAGGTAAAGGAAGGGCCCTTGTTGCTTGGGAGTGAGGAAGCTAATGCTAACGTGCCTGGGCAGGGAGGGGGAGCGGGAGGGAAAGGGGAAGGCATGGGCATGCTCCCGGGAGGTAGAGCGCCAATTTGACAGTTTTTTTTTTATCATAACTAAAATGCAAAATAGTGAAATAGGTGTTCCATTGTTTGTTGGAAAGGAATGTGTAGGGTCTACAGTTTGTAGAGCTGTTAGGCTTAATTGGTCTTTGGGGTGAGTGTGTGTGAGAGAGAGAGAGAGAGAGAGAGAGAGAGAGAGAGAGAGAGAGAGTTGAGGGTTGTGGAATAGAGTATAAAAATATGTGGTGTGTAGAAGAATACAAAGGCAACAAAATCTCAGACATATGCCAAAACAATTTCTTCACTGATACAGCTCCTAGGGCAGTTGAAACTAAAGAGAAAATGAACAAATGGGACTACATCAAAATAAAAAGCTTCTGCACAGCAAAAGAAACCATCAACAAAACAACAAGAAAACCCACCTCGTGGGAAAACATATTTGCCAACGTCATATCTGATAAGGGCTTAATCTCCAAAATTTATAGGGAACTCATACAACTTAACAAAAAGAAGATAAACAATCCAATCAAAAAATGGGCAAAGGATCTAAATAGACACTTTTCAAAAGAGGACATTCAGAAAGCCAAGAGACATATGAAAACATGCTCAAAGTCACTAATCATCCGAGAGATGCAAATCAAAACAACAATGAGGTACCATCTCACACCTGTCAGAATGGCCATCATCAACAAATCAACAAACGACAAGTGCTGGAGAGGATGTGGAGAAAAAGGAACACTTGTGCACTGCTGGTGGGAATGCAGACTGGTGCAACCACTATGGAAGGCAGTATGGAGGTTCCTCAAAAAATTGGAAATGGAACTCCCATTTGACCCTGTGATCCCACTTCTAGGAATATATCCCAAGAAACCAGAAACACCTATCAGAAAGGATATATGTAACCAGATGTTCATAGCAGCACAATTCACCATAGCTAAGATCTGGAAACAGCCTAAGTGCCCATCAGTAGATGAATGGATTAGAAAACTGTGGTACATCTACACGATGGAATACTATGCTGCTGTTAAAAAGAAGGAACTCTTACCATTTGCAACAGCATGGATGGAACTGGAGAGCATTATGCTAAGTGAAACAGGCCAGTCAATGAAGGAAAAATACCACATGATCTCACTCTTGCGTGGATAATTAAGACCATTACAAACTTTCGAACAATAATAAATACAGTGGCAGAGCTGCCTCAAACTGATTGTCGAACTGCAGTGGGAAGGCCAGGGAGGGTTGGGGGACAGGAGGGAGGGGAGTAAGAGATCAACCGAAGGACTTGTATGCATCCATATAACCATAACTAATGGACATAAGACACTGGGGGGTAAGGGAGGGCAGGGGCTTGTCAAGGGTGGGGTGGGGGGGAAGGACACTTATGTAATACCCTTTGTAATACTTATAGCGAAAAATAAAAAATAAAAAATAAAAATAAAAATATGTGGTGTGAAAATTAATGTCATTTGCAGTGTATTTCATGTTGCTTGATCCCCACAAAATAGATTTGTTTTGACAGTAGGCATTTGAGAATTGTGTTGGAATTTGGCATATAATATTTAATAAGCTCTAGTATTTCATCTTGTACATTTTGGTCAGTTTCTTAGTGATAGTTCAGTTGAGTTTAAATTCCAGGACAGAAAACTCGAAAAGGAGGATGTAATGTGAAATCACCAACTGATACAGTGTTCACGATACAGTTATTTGTTTGGCATTTTTCATTAATGTAACTTTTCAACTGACAATGTTATTTGATTTAGGATCTTAGAATTTGAACTGCATGGAAATCATTGATAATTTTGGTATTTATTTTTTTTTACAGAGAGGAAAAAGGAAAATGGATGACTAAAAAAGTATTATTTGTTGTATTTTAAAAGTTGTATTTCCTTTTTCTAGGTTGCTGTAGTGAAACTAAAAAATGCAGATAAGGTATTTGCCATGAAAATACTGAATAAATGGGAAATGCTGAAAAGAGCAGAGGTAAGGTCCTAATTATTGGAATATTTAAATAAAATCTTAGAAATATTTAAGAGGAGATATAAAATTATAGAGAGCCAATAGATCCTTAAATATCACTTAGTAACATTTTATCTATGATGACATATTTTAAGGCCATAAGAGACAAATTCAATAATTCACAATTGTGAGATAGGTATGATAAAAGTTATAATTCGTGCTAATTTAATATTGTCTAAAAACCAAGTGGGAACCCTTGATGCGGTGCTTACACATTTATGTTCAAAGGAGATGTGTAAAAGAATTTCTGTGTAGGAAGAAATAATGTGGAAAGTTCCTTTTATAGGAAATTCAGTGATGATTGGCTTGAAGTTTGTCATATCTTGTTTCTGCCGTTCTGCATTTCTCTGTTTTCTGCTCCAAGCAATAGTCAGCAGAAGCTTGAAATGCCCTCTAAGAATTCTGTTTATTGCTGGTCATGCAGTTGAATTCATTTTCTTTTATATTATTAAAAAATGGTCGTAAAATCTGCTCTTGCAAGAATTGTCCGTGTTCTTATGTTGGTGCAGGATTTCAGGGGAAGATGGATGAGAGTGATGTTCAGCTGTCCAATAGTTGGTGTGGATGCTCAGAACTGGCACCACACATGGATTTGGGGTCGGTTCTGGACGGGGCAGGGCACTCAGGTCTCGGGGAAGCAGTTGCTGGTATGGGAGCATCTTGGTATTTCACTTGTAGAAGGGTCCTACACCGAGCATGCAAAGATACAGCCCTGGAGGTTAGTACACTTTATAAGAGGATAATGAGAAATTAGCCCTTAGAAGTCTTTCTTTATCTACCAGTACGTGGCGCAATCTGAAAAAGAACAGACATAGGAAAAAGCAAAAAAGCATTCCGTTGATGTTAGAATTGGTAGTGACAGTAAATACTTCATGATTTCTTTTGGGAAATTTGAAAACTATGACAAACACAAAGAAGAAACTAATCACTAGCATCTCATCACCTAGAATTAATCAGTACAGTTTTTGGCAAGTTTCTGCTTTCAGTTTTTTGTCCTGTGCATCTACTTCAAAAAACTGCACAAGCGAAATACAAATACATTCTTTCTGAACAAATAGTAGCAAATAACAGATAAAGGTAACGTACTCTGAGTTCACCCCACCCAGGTCCAGCCCCTCTCTACCTCCCACAGGTAATTACTATGCAATCATATCTTGTTTAAAACGTATCAGGGAACGATCATGGCACTCTGGCAGATGTGCCAGTGCCCAGTATATTTAATAACTTCAGTCTTTTCTTTTGGGCGTCCCTAAGACTGAATTGCCGTATTGTCATTACTTGATTTTCCATTAGTAACACTGAGATTGAGTTTAATGTGTAGTATATTTATTGGGGACTTCTTTTGAAACCAACACCTATAGAAGGGAAATTAGGTGAAACATGATTGACCAGGGAGCAGGCAGGCTGTCCCACCATAGTAGCTTTGTTGATATAACAGGAGGTTTTGATAAAGCAGAGCTTGGAGCAGAAATGGCCCTTCGGAGTTGCCCTGCATTGGGCCAGATGACTGACGTTTATGCACCTGCCTCCGTCAGTCCCTGGGTACAGGCTACCTCCCGCAGGACATGGCCTAGTAGGCTTTCTGCAGGTGAGGCGCACCCTGCAGGAGCTGGCGGCATAGCCAGCAAGTGAGCAACAAGTCTCATTATTAAGAAATAGTAAATAATTATGTTGTAATCATTTCACAGAAATCATCATTGTAGTCAATTTAGTGTTTCAGAGTTAGAACTTCTAAAAAATTGAGTTATAGTTTGTACTTTATTTTTTAATCCTTGTCCGAGGATATGCTTAATGATTTTTTAGAGAGAAAAGAGAAGGGGGGGGGGGGAGGGAGAGAGAGAGAGAAAGAAAAAGAGAGAGAAACGTCCATCGGCTGCCTTCTACACACCCCGACCGGGGATCGAACCTGAAACCTTTCCATGTACAGGACCGCACTCCAACCAGCTGAGCCCCGCCGGCCAGGGCTGCGCTTATGTTGATGAAGTTGGATGTGCTGGGGAAGAACTGTGAAAAGGCAGGATAACTGTTAGCTTTCATTGCTGATGGGAAGAAGTGGCAAAGTTGTAGGTAAAACAAGGGGTAGTTGAAAGTTAAATATTATTTTCTTGAATTAGAATGCACTAGTATATCCTGTGTCTGAGGCAAGATGGAATGGAAATTCTTCTCCCTGTCCTTTCCATTAAGTAGCTGAAGAGTCTGCACATTAATTATAAAACAAACATGACCAGGCTCTGAACGGCAGAGAGAAGGTGGACCAACTAGGGACCTGGGGGTTCTGTTGAACAGCACTTCCTCTATGACAGTGGTTCTCAACCTTCCTGATGCCGCAACCCTTTAATACAGTTCCTCATCTTGTGGTGACCCCCAATTTCATTGTTACAAATTGAACATAATTAAAGCATAGTGATTAATCACAACAACAATATGTAATTATATATGTGTTTTCCGATGGTCTTAGGCGACCCCTGTGAAAGGGTCATTTGACCCCCAAAGGGGTCGAGACCCACAGGTTGAGGACCACTGCTCTATGACGTCGGGTGCGTCGTGCCGTCTCAGAGCATGTGCATGTGAAATGAAAGTCAGAGGGACTGTGAATGATGCTAATCAGAGATGTGCTGTTGACTGTCCTGGGGTGCTCCAGTTGGTGTATACCGGGGTGGAAGTGATTTAAAAATAATTTTTACACTATAGGATTTTCACGTTGTGCTGACCCTAGAATTTATCCACTCCCTGGATTAACTCCTCAGTAATGAAACCTCTTGGGTTTGGGGGACAGGTACACATTAATCTTTAGTAGCTATTGCTAAATTGTCTTCGAAAACGTGTTTGTTGTCTCCCTCATTTGCCAGTTTTAGATGTTATCAAATGATTTCTCTTCCTTAAAACATTTTTTCTGACAAATAAGTTAAAAAGTGACATCTCATGTTTGGTTCAGCCATCAAATATACATTGGAGATTTAAAAGTAAATTGATGTCTTGGTGTATAAGACCTGACATTGGATGCCTGGCTGGTGTGGCTCAGTGGATATGCACCGACCCAAGAACCAGGAGGCCATCAATTCGATTTGTAGTCAGGGCACAGGCCCGGGTTACAGCTTGATCCCCATTGGGGGTTGGGGTGTGTGTAGGAGGCAGCCGATCAGTGTTTCTCTTGATGTTTCTACTCTATACCTCTCCCTTCCTCACTCTCTAAAAACTCAATAAAAACATTTAAAAAAGGACCTGATATTGGAATTCTTACATTTTTCAATTTAAAATTCCACTTTTTTTTTTTAATGAAAAGTTTTGGCTTTTCTCCCCTGGAATATTGGAATAATTTAGTTATTATTTGAAAGAATTTCTCTGTTAATATTTTATAGGAGATAGAAGTCTAAACGAGAAGCCAAAAGTACATATAGTCATGAGTGGATTTTCTTGTTTTAACACATGATTTCCAAGTATTCAGGTAATTGGATGTACTGTATAGGAATGTATAAGAATGTCGCTTTATGAATGTGTACCTATGGATCTAGGGAAGAGAACCATGTGACAGTTTTGCAGAATTATTATTCTTTTTATCTGGGCCATATTAACTTCTGTTTTATCATAGGTATTCCTATTGCTCTTTCTCTTTAACCAATAGCCCATTAAGGATAAAATTTAAACAATAAAAATATCAAACTGCAAATCCGTCAAACCCATCACTGTCCCCAGCAGAATGTTTGGTTGAATAGAAACAGAGTGATAGGATCTGAAGAAGTCATGTGATCTCCAGTAACCCCTCCTACTGGTCATTGTATTCTTAGAGACTTAAATGTTCTGTTCTTGAAGGGGAATATATTTTTTTAATTCAGTTTTTTTTTAAGGGCAATTGAAGTAGAGATTTTTACAGCCTTTAACCATGTTGAATCCTTGGGACAACTTTATGAACCTCATGGTATGCATCGTGGTTTGGTTAATATTGATCAAGGACAGGGTTTCTCAGCAAGGGCCCTTGTGATATTTGGTGCCAAATAATTCCTTGTGGGACTGTCCTATGCATTGTAGGATGTGTGGCAGCATCCTGGCCCCTTCCCACTGGATGCCAGTGGCATTAACGCCCTTCGCCCCAGTTGTGACAACTGAGGACAGTGTGACTTATGGAACCAAAAAAAGAGACTGCACTTCACATCTAAACTCAGTGTCTGAGGCACTAATAGGAGTAGTTTCATCCTGGATGTTTATGGATAAAGCCAACTGATGTCTGGGATTTGCTTGAAAATTTGTACACATGGACGTGCACATATGTGCATGGAGGGAGGTTGGGAGTAAGATGAAACAAGATTGAGGAATAACATAATTGTTGAAGTTGATTGATGGGTACATTGGGGGGAGATGGCTATTTTATTGTTCTTGTATATATTTAAAGTTTTATATCAAAGCTTTACATTAAACTATATAAATAGTTTCTTTATATTTTATTAAAAATTTTTTTTTCATGAAACAGAATAGAATAGAATCTACTGAAGTTTAATTTGTTGACAAAAAGTCTTTGGAGCTTTATTTAGTTTGGAGTCATCTATCAGATGTTTATTAGATTCTAGCTGGAATGTCTCGAAAATTCCAGATAGCAGTCATAATAAAGGAAAGCTGGGAGAAGGGTGTCTCCTAGGCCCTCATAGCCTTTACCACCTCTGAAGGTTAGCAGCAAACACAGCTTCACAGCAGTTAAATTCCACACCAGAACGTAGTGGTGAGCATGCCAAGTGATTCCACTTTCTCCCTGAAATGAACCAAAGCATAATGTAGATTTTAATAACCCAATTAAAGGGTTTAATCTTTAATTGCTTTTAATATTTTCTCTGGTGATACTATTTTATACATGGCTTTGGAAATTCTATTTGATCAAATAAAATTTATGTAAATACTTATTAAAAATCAGGATACCTAATTAGGGTAAAATAGGTAATGTTAATTGTTTTGTATGTCATCGCTATTGAATTTACCTTGTGCTATATAAGTATGAAGCACCTATATGTAGAGTACTATATGATGATTTTTCAGTGTGTATGGAGTATGGTACAACCATTAAGAAAAATTAGGTCTCTAATGGAAAGGTGTTTAGATATATTGTTACTTAACCAAACAGCTTACAGAGTACTGTGATCTCATTTGTAAAGAAAAGATAAGGGATATGGGATACTACATGAATTGTGTATGGTATGTGTGTATAAGCTTATGTATACACAGAAATTTTCTGAGAAGATATTCAACAGAACTTACATGGTACCCTCTGGACACAAGTGGATAATGAAAGTAAGGGGGACTCATGGAGACTTTCCGTTTCTACTTTACCTTTATAATATGGAAATATTCTCAGAAAAAATCAAAACTTTTACAAGTTAATAAGAAAAAGACAAGCCGTAACCGGTTTGGCTCAGTGGATAGAGCGTTGGCCTGGGGACTGAAAGGTCCCAGGTTCGATTCCGGTCAAGGGCATGTACCTTGGTTGCGGGCACATCCCCAGTAGGGGGTGTGCAGGAGGCAGCTGATCGATGTTTCTCTCTCATCGATGTTTCTAACTCTCTATCCCTCTCCCTTCCTCTCTGTAAAAAAAAAAAAAAAAAAAAAGAAGAAGAAAAAGACAATTCATTAGAGAAAATGGACAAAGGGAGTGAACAGTTCAGAGAAAGTTCAGGTGTTCAATAAGCATATATCTAAAGTTATTTATCTGCACCTATAAGTAGGAATAAATTAATGAAGAGAACAATAAGATATTATTTCACACCTATCATATTGATACACACTTAAAAGTCTAATAATGCCAAGTACAGTTGAGGATGTGAGGAAAAGGGTAGATTTCATATAGTGGGGTGAGGGTAGTAATTGGCACACCACTTAGAAAAGAAAATTGGTTTTATGTGGCTGCAGTTGAAAATGCTTCTACCATTTCTACTTTTAAATGTATAATCTAGATAAACTCTTGTACATTTGTACAAATATATTCATTGCAACATTGTAATAACATAAAATTGGAAATAACCTATGTTTTCATGATGAGGAGGGTTGCATAAATTTCTTAGTATTCAAACATGGAATATCATAGCAATTAAAAGGAAAATAAGTCATGATTGAGTAAAAAGTAATCAAGTTGCAAAAGAGTAGATAAAAATTATACCATTTGTGGAAATTTTCAAAACACTTCTATTATTTTTTTAGTCACAGACATGTGATCAAAGCATATGATGGGAATACTACTACTAAATGCTAACTTCAGATTATTTATTATATCAGGGGAGGAAGGGAGGAGAATCCAATAGTAGTAGGAAGGCTACAACTTGTATCTCATTTCCTTAAAAATAAAAAGATCAGAAGTAAATGTGGAAAATGTTTAGGGTATTATCTAGGTGGTAGGTTGGACCATGAGTGTTGAATGATGCTGTGTGCTTCCTGATTCTTTGAACTCTTAATGGTATTTGAAGCATACTCCTCCAGGTGTCTGATTTCTGGTTGACTTGTTGAAAGTCATATAATATTGGATGTACTCTTTTTCCAGAATAGCAAGTATAATAAATACATTGAGCGAATGTTTGCACAGTGTATTTCCTAGTTTTACATAAAGTGTCCTCTATCTAAAATGCATTTTCTCTTTTCAGACGGCATGTTTTCGTGAAGAAAGGGATGTGTTAGTGAATGGAGACAATAAATGGATTACAACTTTGCATTATGCTTTCCAGGATGACAACAACCTGGTAAGAATCATTTTTCCAGTTTTACTGAGAAATAATTGACATATATCACTGAATAAGCTTACAGCCTACAGCATGAGGGTTTAATTTACATATAATGTGAACTGATTACCACAGTAGGTTCAGCTAATACCTGTTTTCTCATGTAGCTACAATAAAAAGAAAATAAAAAGGGGGGAAAATCTCCTTATGTTGACAGTTCTTAGGACTTCCTCTCTTAACAACTTTCTTATGTGTCATGGAGCAGTGTTAGTGATCGCATCGTGTGTGCATTATATCCCAGGAGTTATTTATCTTACAACTGAAGTTTGTACATTTCTGCAGTCCCCACTCCCCGGCTTCCCCCCTCTGGTAGCCATGAGTGATTTCTGTTCCTGTGAGTTTGGTGTCTGAAAGGACTAGGCTGTGAAAGATGAGAGGAAGGCTAGTGTGATTAGAGGACAGCAGTGAAGGGAGAAAGATATGAAATGAGGCTTCCAGTGTGTGGATCATGCTGAGGAATTCAGATTTTATTTTAATTTCAAGTTGGGTTTTAAGGGGAGTGTGATACAGTTTTATATTTTACATAGACCATCCTGGCAGCGGTGTGGGGAGGGATTTCAGGAGCAAAACTAGAGAACGAGCTCTGGCCGGGTGGCTCCGTTGGTTGGGCATCATCACATCCACCAAAAGGCTGTGGGTTCAGTCCGGTCAGGGCACACCCTCGGGTTGCGGATCCATCCCCAGGCTGGGCGTGCACAGGAGACACCTTCCGATGTTTTCCTCTCACCGATGTGCTGGAGTGGAAGTCAGTGGAGGAGAGGAATCAGAATGACTCCCAGTTGGCCAGGTCTGCTTTGTGGGATTCAGTGGTTGGTACTTGATGAATTGAGTTGGAGAAACAGGGGGATAAGAAAATTTAGAGCAGATGGGAAGATGATTCATTTAATGTGGCCTGTGTTAGCTTTGGATGTCATGTGATTCATTTATGAGTCTGGTGCGTCTGAGGGTGAATAGCACTACACATCTGGGAGTTCCTATAAATCATATTTCAGCAAACTATGGCCTGCAGCTCAAATCTGGCCCACCACCCATTTTTGTATAGCCTGCAAGCTAAGAATTGTTTTTGTATTTTTAAATAGTTGAGAAGAAATCAAAAGAGGAGTATTTTGTGACTTGTGAATATTATATTACATTTGAATTTCAGTGGCCATGAAATTTTATTGGAAAACAGCCATGTCGTTGATTTATGTATTGTCTACGGCTGCCTTTGCACCACAGTGGCTGAGTTGACTATTGTGACAGAGACTGGCCCTGTGACAGGGAAACACTCTGCATGTGTTACTGCCATTGCTTTGCAAATTGCAGTGACAGTTATAACTTGATAGCTTTGGAAGTGCTATATATATTGCTGTATTGTGTCATTGTTAATAGTGCATATGGATTATGGCAAATTAAGGAGAAGAAAACGATAGACTTCAAATATCATTCGTTTAAAGCACAGCAGAATGTGGATTATTTTGTTAACAAATTAAATGACAGCGTATTGTTTATTATGCAACTACACTACAACTGTACTAATAGAAGCAAATAAAAATGTTTGCACTCTGAGCACTCATTCCAACATTCCTAACACAGGAGAACAGCAGTCAGTAAAGTTAGAAAATTTAAAACAGAATATCTTATCATAGCAGAATTACTTTACAAAAATAAAAAATGACATGAGGCTGCAACTGTAGGAAGTTCCTTGAGTGGCTCATTTGTTAGCCAAGCAAGGAAAGCCTTACACCAATGTTGAGATAATTAAATCATGTCTGATTGCAGCAGCCAAAGAAATGTGTCCACAGAAAATTAACTTGTCTAAGACTTTTAGCCTTTTGGTGAGAACAGTTGCTCAAGAATTGAGGAAATTGGGAACAACATCAATGGTTGATTATAAAACCAGGGAAATGATTTTGAGTGGTTTTCTTTGGCTCTTTGAGTTGAAAAATGTTACTGATTCTGCTCAGTTCTTGTTATTTGAAGAGTCAATGCTGAGTTTGAAGTAACTGAGAAATTAGCCTGTATGAATAGTTTGTGTGATACAATATAGTCAATAGCATTTCCAAAGACGTTCAGAAAACACTAATCTGGCACAAACTGAATTGGAATCTGCTACGATGTATTACAGTGGAGAATGATGACGTGTGAAGCAGAAAGAGGCCTAGTTGGACATATACACAAATGGTTAAATATTAGGTGCTGTAAGCACCTCATGCTGTCTTATTAATCAGCAGGTGGTTTGCAGCAAATATTTTAACCTGTCATGTGTTAGTGAACCAGTAGTATCAACGTTGAACTTCATTAAGTCTCATGGACACAAGTGTTATCATTTTCATGAATTTGTGTCAGAAATCAAAGCTGAATATCCTGTCCTGCTATATAATACAGCTGTTCAGTGGTTTTGTAGTGGTAACATATTATTGCAATATTTTGAACAAAGGACCAAGGTTGAAATATTTTTGAACCAAAATACCCATCCTCAACCATTATTATGAAATACTGAATTGCTTTGGAAAATAGCTTTTTCTGTAGGCTTCATATGTTTTTTAAAAATATTTAACCTAAATTACAAGGCAAAGCAGCACTTACATGGAAAACTCACACTGTGGTGAATTCATTTTGACAGCTAATGTTGCTTGAATCAAACACAATGTCAAGTTGTTTTATTTATTTCCCATGCTGTCAAAAGTGAAAAGAAATGAGATCTTCATTCCCATACAGATAAAAAGAAGTGAGGTCTTCATTCCTACACAGGTTTGCAGCAGGTAGATCTTTTGAACTCAAACTATATATAGTTCTAGCATTAATTTTGGGGACTTGGTGCAAGTGAAAAGGAAATGTTAATAGTTAAAAATCCACTTAACTGGGCAGTTGAGAACTTCCACCTAACCTTCAGTTAGAAGTGACTAATTTGCATTGTATTGACATGCTTAGATTCCCTCTGTGGGTTCAGTTAATTTGCTAGAGCAGCTCACAGAACTCAGGTGAAAGAGATGCACAGGGAGAGGGGCACAGAGCTTCCATGCCCTCTCTGAGAGCGCACTGCTCAAGAGCACCTCCACTTGTTGGCCAACCTGGAACTCTCCAAACCCCATCCTTTTGGATTTTTATGAAGGCTTCATTACACGGGCATGTTTGTTTAAATCATGGATCAATCATGATTGATTCAATCTCTACTCCAGCCCATTTCTTAGAGGCTAGGGGTGGGCGGGACTGAAAGTTCAAACTCTCTCGTCTTGGTTGGTTCCCCTGGCAGCCAGCTCTCATCCTTAGGTTACCTAGGAGCTTTCCACAAGTTGCCTCATTAACATCAACTCTGGTCTAGTTGAAAGGGGCTTATTATCAATAACTAGAGGTCTGGTGCACAGATTCATGCACTGGTGGGGTCCCTCGGCCTGGCCTGTGCCCTCTCGCAATCTGGGCCCCCTTGGGGGATGTCGGACTGCTGGTTTCGGCCCGATCCCCGCAGGCCAGGCTGAGGGACCCAACCAGTGCACAAATCCATGCACCAGGCCTCTAGTATGCATATAAGATCTTTGGTTAGTCTCTTCCTGCCCTCTCCCCCTTCCCTCTGAGATTCATCAGTCTGTTCCATGTTTCCATGCCTGTGCATTGAGCGTCTGTCCCCTGGTGGACAGTGTGCGTCATAGCTATCGGTCGAACGGTCACTTAGGCTTTTATATATAAAAGACATCTTTGTCTTTGTCTTGTCACTTAAGAAATTCTAAGAGTTTTCAGGATCTCTGCTCTGTGCCTATAGATAGATAGATAGATAGATAGATAGATATTTCTTATTATAAATCTCAGTATCAGACACAAACTCATAATAGTCCATATCTAAAATTAGTTGCCTTCTGTTTATATGTACCCTAGAAAGGTCCATTCTGATATTTGTGCACGATTAGAAATGGGAAGAGAAGCATAGGTATCGTGAGAATTACTGTATTCTTTGTTGCAGTAGTTTTCAAATGCTTATCCAGCTGCTCATTATAATGAAGTTGTTACTGCTCCAAGATGAAATAAGGAAAATGTAGTGATGATGAAAATGAATTTATTCAACATAAAGAACTGTAATATATTCTGAGTTTTTGAAATGAACTTTGCAGAATTAAAATGTTCATTCTTCAATGAAATGTTGGTAAAACTATGGTGTATTATTGGAGGTCGTGATGTTGTTACTTTGCAAAATACAATAATAAAACAATAGTAATCCTTTGTTGTTCCCTGTCCCAGTTTTTAAAAATGTATTTTACTGCTTTATGACTTTTACCAGTTTTGTAATGACTGCTGATGATAATCTTATGTAGCTTCTTGTTAGTTGACAACAAAAGTCTTTTACTTAGTGCTGTTTGACCTTGGGTTACATTAAATATACTCTTTTTCACCCTTTTAAAAATTTACTGAGTACATTTTATTGTTTCTTTCCAAGTATCTAGTTATGGATTATTATGTTGGTGGGGATTTGCTTACTCTGCTCAGCAAATTTGAAGATAGATTGCCTGAAGATATGGCTCGATTTTACTTGGCTGAGATGGTGATAGCAATTGATTCCGTTCATCAGCTGCATTATGTACACAGGTGAGTAAGATGTTCTTTCATTGCCTTGTGATATCTAGAAGCAGAGGTCTATTTATACCAGATTTATTGGGGACTAAGATACGTTTCTCATCAAAGTATTTATTCTGCGGTGGTTTTAATGGTTTTGCCTCTCCAAGGCACATCACATCCCTGAATATGGTACACAGTAATGAGATGAACTAAGGTGAACAATTTGTATAAGATCACTGGTAATTTATGCTGTGTTCAATATAGGATAATATTCCTTATCACCTTCTTTATTTTTATATTTGCCTTATTTTCTTCATTAGATTTTAAGCTCCTGGAGTTATAGACTAGTATTTTCCTGTTGTGCTCAGTGGATGTATTGTATTATTCCTCTCTGGTGGTTTTCTTTACTAGACCTGGAGCGTTATGGTTGTTGCAAGGTTTCCTTACTGGGTGTGGATTAATAGGTTGCTGCAGTGTAGTACTCTCATCATTAAATCATATTTTAGGAACAGTTGTTGTTATCTGGTATTTAGGCTAAATTATATTTAAATTTCAAAATTGGTTGCATCAGTTACTGTTGAATAGTGTCCACTGGCTTTTATTTTCTCAGTCAAGTTCTTTACCTAGTCATTTCTTTCCTTTTCACCTCATTCCATAGTGGATGTAGATAACTTAAAGTAAGAATATGTACGATAAAGTGGAGGACTAAAATATGTGGAGGACTAAAGAGTTGTGAGATTGAAATTATATTTAAAAGTAAAGAATCTAAAACAGGATAAAATAACTAATGAACAGACATTGTCAAGTTATGTTTTCATGTTTTTCATGCATACTTTTACTTCTTTTCTGGCATAGTTAATTCATGTGAAAATGTCCAAACTTCAGATTAGACTAAGAGCGTAAGGGTGCAGGCACACAAGCTTTTTGTTGAATAGAATCTCTCTCTAAAGGCAAATCAAGCTGGTTTCATGGGACTTATTGGTGTATGTGTGCTCTCCTGTGTTTGTTTTAAAGTTAAGTACTGACTTGAACAAATTCTTGGAGTGGAATGTGTTTTTTGAAGTAATCTCTCCTTACCCTAGTTAAAAAATAAGACAAAAACTAGAAACAATTCACTCATTCATGGCTTTCTTCATAACTCCCATGTTTCCCCAGTGGAATTTGTTCCATATTCAAGGTTTGTGATTGCAGTTTTATTGACCTCATCTTCTTATTGTTAACATTTTATAGATTATGTTTAACTCTAAAAATGTACTGATGCATGCCCTAACTGGTTTGGCTCGGTGGATAGAGCATTGGCCTGCAGACTGAAGGGCCCCAGGTTCGATTCCAGTCAAGGGCATGTACCTTGGTTGCGGGCACATCCCCAGTAAGAGGTGTGCAGGAGGCAGCTGGTTGATGTTTCTAACTCTCTATCCCTCTCCCTTCCTCTCTGTAAAAAATCAATAAAATATATTTCTAAAAATAAATAAATAAATAAATAAATAAGTAAGTAAGTAAGTAAGTAAGTAAGTACTGATGCATTATAGGAAATGGATCCAACCTATCTTAATAGGGTTTGTTGGGGGAAACCCACGGAATTCAGTTCTGGAGAGTTTTCCATCCCTGATCCCCTGAGCTTTTTATGAAGGGTGGGTATGTGCCGGCCTCCACCAGGGCTTTGGGCTGATTCATCTCTCAGTGTGGATTTGTGGTGTGATTCGGCAGGTATCCTCTTGGTAGATGTAAAATCATTACACTTTTACAGTGAGATAGAAATACTTCGTGGCATGAAGCTAATATAAAACCGCTCTCAGTCTCTCCCAGGCTGGAGTCCCATTTCAAAATTGTAATTTTTCATACTGCTAATGGAGGAGGTAATTTTATTATAATCTGAAATTACTAAAGAATAGATAACATTATAGTTAAAATTTGTTAGCTATCGGTGAACTCAGGCTGTGCACCATTATTGAAATTATGTTACTGTTATGCCCAGATTTCAAGATTCCCAAGAAACCACATCAGGGGGCCAATTCGATGCAAAAGCATAAGAATCTGTATTTCAAGTTAACTTGGGCTCCCCATCCACCAGGCTCACCGACACCAAGGCAAACCAAGTGGCTGAGCGCCCGAACCCCGCCCAGAGACCCATTATATAGGGGGGGTCGGAGTAAGGGGAGGAGAAAGGACTGTGCTCTGCCGATTGGCCAGGCACAAGTCGATGTCCCGTTCCTGGGTGTGGCTAGCAGAGTCTTAGACTTCCGTGAAGAAGCTCCTTGCCCAACACGTGGCCAAGGTAAGATGGAGGACGTAGCCCTTACCCTGGGGGAAGGTGGAGGGCGTAGCCTTTACCCTGGGGCAAGGTGGAGGGCCTAGCCCTCGCCCTTTCAGTTACATAAGGACAGTCACTGTATTACAGTGCATTTGATATTTCAGTGACTGTGAGGATTTGGGGCCAACTTCAGAAATAGCGGGAACAATTCCAAAAGACCACCCTTACGTCTGACACCAATTGCAGATTTGGGCGGTTCCCAAAACCACCCTCAGTTTCCATATCTTGCAGGGTCTCACAGAACTCACTGAAAGCTGTGCTTAGAGTTACAGCCTATTGATGGAAAGGGTGCAGATGGAACCCGCCAGGAGACGCAGCACACAGGGCAGAGTCCAGGAGAAGTGCCAGGCGCATCCGTGTGCGCAGTAGCGTGGAGTGTTGCCAACAAGGAAGCACATTGAGCTTTTGTGTTCCAGCGTTCTGGGAGTCTCAGCATATTGCTTGCATGACTGCCCATTAGTCTGTAGCCCTTCCCAGAGGCTGGGGTGGTACCTTTAGTTTCAGAAGTAAAGCAGATACCCCATGTCCCCTGTAAATTACATCTCTCATAAATCACAGTGCTAGACTGCTTGGTGGCCAAGTCCCCAGGAAAACAAAGATACTTCTGTCTGGCCTGATATTCCAGGAGCCTCGGGATCACCTCCCATTGCCTGAGGGCAAAGGCCAGGCCTCTCTTTGGGTGCGATTAGTTTTTCGATATACAGGACACCCATTGGCCTCTAGTGAGGGCTTTTTTTTTGTTCATCCTCACCCGAGGATATTTTTCCATTGATTGTTAGGGAGAGTGGAAGAGCGAGGGAGAGACAGAGAAACATCAATGTGAGAGAAATACATCGATTGGTTGTCTCCTGAATGCCCCAACCAGGGCTCGGGCCAGGGAGGAGCCTGCAACCGAGGTACATGCCCTTGAACCAGAATCGAACCCGGCACCCTTTGGTCTGCAAGCTGATGCTCTATCCACTGAGCCAAACCGGCTAGGGCTAGTGAGGGCTTTCTTACAAAAAAAAAAAATCATATTTGTCTGGCTAATCTACATTTCATATAGCCTTTATATGATAGACACAACAACAACATCAGTGTGAATATGCCTGTCACGTGGAGGAGGCAGCTTGCACTATTTGTTTTCAAGAGTTGTGTTAACTTTGGAATATGAAATTGGATTTACCAAAGAAAAGTCAGGTGAATAAGTATACATTTTTGAAACAAGTTGATTTCAGTGAAGACAGGAGTGCTTAGATAAAATAACAGTTCACAAATACATTTTAAAACAATTTCAGAAGAATACAGTTTTGTTATATCCACCTTTTCCATTCCAGGCATAATATTTACAATAATCATGCTCTGGTACTGACAGTCCAGTGAAGTATTAAAGTAAGAACGACCCACAGAATATTGGCCTTTCAACATGGTCATTGTTTTGGAATGCTTTTTATCCTTAATACTATAAGAAAAAATGTATCATTATAAATATTTTGACTGAGAGTTTTAAAATAATACTGTTCCTTTTAAGCCAAATGTAATTTGCTTTTGATTGGGGACAAGGAAAATTACTGATTTTAAAAACTTCAGTGAATGATAATTGGTATGATTGGTATGATTCATATTCAAGTTAGGAAGAAACTTGAGTAATGTTTTTACATTGATAATGTAGAGATTTTATCTCTTCTAAACATTTCTCTTTCATTGTTTTCATTGATTTTCAAGGTTAGAATTAATGTTTCGCCTGAATTTCCCTTCTCCTTTTTATTTTATTTTTTAATTTTTTTTGTTAACCCTCGCCTGAGGATATTTTTCCATTGATTTTTAGAGAGAGGGAAAGGGAGGCAGTGGGACAGAGAGAGAGAAACATTGATGTGAGAGGGACACATCAATTGGTTGCCTCCCACACATACCCTGGGGATTGAATCTGCAACGGAGGTAAATGCCCTTCACCAGAAGCGAACCAGAGACCCTTCCATCCATAGGCCAATGCTCTATCCACAGCCAGACAGGATAGGTGTTGGGGTCCAACCCCAGCAGGTCTAGGGGTTCCCAGAGGTGTGGATGGAGTCGGCGAAGAAGAAATGACACGGAGACAGCGTTCAGTTCATCAGCAGCCTAGCCAGGTTCTCCAGCCAGGTTCTGTCTTTATTCTCCTGTTACATCTGTATTTATACCAGTTGATTTTAATCCTATCCATTCTATTCCAAAGGTTAGGGCATTTGTTATCTCCATTCCAAGGTCACTACTCTATTGTTCTGTTAAGCTACAAGGAAGTAACTGAAGGAGATTATCCTAAGTAAAGATTATGTAGCTTAAGCGTGATTGTTCGTAGTTAAAGTGATTAACTACCCGCCTGGCACTTAGTTAAGGGGTTTTACTGATTTATTCCCTTCCTTAGTCCTGTTAATCCCTAACTCCAGGGAAAAATCCCCACCTGGGGAAACAACCTTTCTTTGAGAGGTGACCTCTGTTAAAACACATAGCGCTAAGTAGGGGAGCAAACATATTAAGAACAGTATGCCATATACGCCAGGTCCCTTGAAACATATGCTGTGCAGATGTTTCTTCCCTGCAGCGACTGTGTCAAGGAGCAAGGATGGACCGGCTTCCGGCAGATAGGGCTTTTCTACCCCTTTTATTGACAATACTTGGTATCTGGTTGGCTGGCTGCCACCTTACTTGCAAGATGTCACAGACTTGAGTGGTTCTGAATCCCAGACGTTACTTTGCTTCTTCT